GCTGCTGCTGCTGCTGCTGCTGCTGCTGCTGCTGCTGCTGCTGCTGCTGCTGCTGCTGCTGCTGCTTCATTCTTTCCTTTTTTGTGTTGTTTTATTTGTTTGTCTTTTGCTGCTGCTCTTCTCCTCTCTCTTCTGGTTGCTGCTGCTGCTGCTGCTGCTGCTGCTGCTGCTTCTGCTGCAGCAAAGCCATCCCCCCACAACTCTGGGTGTTTCAAATGCACCTTGCCTGCTGCTGCTGTTGCTGCTGCTGTTGCTGCTGCTGCTTGCGCGCTGCCGCTGCTGCTGCTGCTGCTGCTGCAACAGCTGCTGCTGCAGCACACTCTCCTGGGGCCTCCCTCTTGGTACTGTAGCAATGCGTATAGGGGGGAGACGAACGCTAGACACAGCAGCAGCAACCCCACCGCCCATCAGCTCCTGCTGCTGCTGCTGCTGCTGCTGCTGCTGCTGCTGCGGCTGCGGCTGCGGCTGCGGCTGTGGCTGCGGTGGCTGCTGCTGCTGCGGCGGCTGCACTAACATCCGCTGCAGCACGGGACGCAGCTGCTGCTGCAGCTGCTGCTGCTGCTGCAGCAACTGCTGCTGCAGCAACTGCTGCTGCTGCAACTGCTGCTGTTGCTGCTGCTGCTGCTGCTGCTGCTGCGCCGCATCTGTCTCCCCAGCTGCAGCAACCCCTCCACCTGGAGAAGTGTGAACGGGTAGAGGGTAAACTTGCTGCTGCTGCTGCTGCTGTTGCTGCTGCTGCTGCTGCTGCTGCTGCAGTTGTTCATTCCACTGATACGGGTTTGCTGCTGCTGGCACTAGCAGCTGCTGCTGCTCCTTCCGCTGCAGCGCAGAAGCTGCTGCAGCATTGAAGAACTCCTGCCACGCTTGCTGCTGCTGCTGCTGCTGCAGCAGCAGTTGCTGCTGCAGTTGCTGCTGCATCTGCTGCTGTAGCTGCTGCTGCAGTTGCTGCTGCTGCTGCGGTACACTCATCGGGAATGTATTGGGGAGGCAATAAACTGCATGCTGCTGCAGCGGTTGCTGCTGCTGCAGCATCTGCTGCTGCAGCACCTGTTGCTGCAGCATCTGCTGCTTCTGCTGCTGCTGCTGCTGCTGCACTGCTGCAGGGGAAGCAGCAGCAACGAGGGGGATACAGCGCAGCGCCTCTGCGGTGTCTGTACACCCCAAATTATATAAACCTAACTCAACAGATAAGGACTTCATCGGAGACACACCAATGCTGCTGCTGCTGCTGCTGCTGCTGCTGCTGCTGCTGCTGCTGCCTCCTCTGCCGGGAGGAGCAGTGGCTGCCTGCTGTGATGATGAGGTCCTCAGGGATTCTGCTGCTGCAACAGCAGCAGCAGCTCCTGCTGCTGCTGCTGCTGCTGCTGCTGTGTTGGTGATGGTGGGTGTTTCTGCTGTTGCTGCTGCTGGTCTTGC